CCTTGGTTTTAGTCCTAGGTCCATGATCCACCTTGAGTTGGTTTTTGTGTATGGAGTGAGGTGTGGGTCTTGCTTGAGTCTTTTGCAGATATTAGTATAACTATTATTCAAACATATACACCAATCACTGAAGCCAAAGAAGAAGAAAAAATTTACTATATCTATCCTTTCTTTTTGGTCAGCAGTATGGCGCTGGAAATCTGTTTGAAAATCATCTACAAGAGCTGGTTCTACAGAAGCTGTTGACTGAGATTGGTGAGCAGCAGACTGGAATGTTGATTCACTCAGAGGAGTGAGGCAATGTGATAAGGCCTCGTCTTTAAAACCGGTTAGGGCCCTTGAGCCTGTGGCCCTAAGGCCTGGTTTAAATTGTTTTTTGTCAAACATTCTTCTAAGTGGTATAGCACTGGTCTGTGCATTGCTGTACAGAGATAACTCGTGGTTGCTGTGATACTAAACATTGGGACACTGATATGCCAAATGTGATAATGGTTACCCATGGTGGGCAGTGTTTGGTGGAGCCTCCCGATTAAATCAAGCTTGGAAGCAGGAGTGGCATTCACTTCTGAAATGGCCTGTCTCTGGAAACTCAATGAACATGGAGAAATGACCAAAGTTACACAAGCGTTCAGGTCTTTTGTTCATAGGGTCGCTGTGAGTTGTCTACAACTCAATGGCACTTAACAACAACAAACAACATCCTTTTTCTATACCCATTCAGTGTGGATACTGAGCAAATCATTCATGAAACTGAACTCTATGAAAGAGAATGTGGCATAAGATTGGAGGAAGACTCATCAACATGTGTTATGCAGATGACACAACCTTGCTTGCTGAAAGCAAAGAGGACCTCTTTGACTTGACCACCATCTTTAATGAGGTTGTGAGGACAGCATAAAAACACACTCTTCCATGATGCTTTGGTCTTCAAAACCTCTAGAAGCATGAGCGACATCTTCACCCCACTACCACCAAACTAAAGCAAAATTCCAGCCATCACTCATCATTTACCTCCTGGTCTCCCCTATCCCAACCCATGGTGATGTCATATGTATCAGAATAGAACTGCACTTCATAAGATTTTTTTTAATGGCTAATTTTGGGGAAATGGATTGCCAGGTATTTCTTCCAAAATGTCTCTGGACTTACACCATTGATTTTTTTGGTTACCAGCCAGGCTCATGAACCATTTATATATCCAAGGACTCTTCCTAAGGTGCAGTGAATTGTTATTATATGCCTTTCTAACAAAAAAGAATGAGTGGACTATGCAAATAATGTGTTTGAGGACCACCAAAGGGATTGTAAATAAGGTGTATCAGACCCTGCGAAATAAGACAATGCAAATAAGGTGCATGGAACCCTTGAAAAACATTATTCCCTTTTGCCTTCCCAATGATTGTTTTTGTAATTACTGTTGGGCCCAAATCAACTCATCAGAGACTGCTCATCTTTCTCCCGCAGAGCCGCTAGTAAATTCGAACCACATGCATTTGGCTTGGCAGTACAATTCCTTACCACTAAGCCATCAGAGTCCCCTTGCCATCACACTAGGTTTAATATAATCTAATCCTAAAAGTTGGGGAGAAATTTCACTGGCAATCTTGAAGAGGCGATAATAGAACACATCCTTTCTACCAAACTCCCTGTGCTAAGAA